TATAGTAACCACATAGCTTACCTTGATCTGCAACCCAGAATCACAGCAGAGATTCCTCATCCCCAGAAGGCAGCACTAATTGAAATACTGGGATGCAGGTGGATGTCATCAGCTATAGCAAGGACAATCTCTAGTCATATTTGGTTTAAGTGGGTTTATTATTCCATCCTTTCTTGAAGAAAAAGATAGAGGGAGTTTGCACTAGTTTTAATCAGCTCAAAGCCCTGCAGTACAGAACATCAGCCACTGTGAGCTGAACACTTGGCAGAACAGGGTGTCACCAATGCGGCCTCAGCCCTTGGGACACAAAAGCCACAACCAAGTGTGTGCAGGACAAGCTGTGCCCCCGGATCCCTCTGGCAGCAAACTCAGAAAAGCTCCACAGCCAACATGGAAGCCTCAGAACATTCTGTTTGCAGAAGCCAGGTTTTGAATTCTAAGCCAGAAGGAAAAGTGCCAGTGTGGCTTTGCACTTCTTTCAGTGACACCAGTAGTATGTTGAACACAGTGTGTGAGGTATTCAGTAATTACTGAATTTTGTCCTGCAAGAAACATTCATTTCACAATTTTAAGACCAAGTTATATATATTGTCTCTAGGCTAACCTTACTAAAAGGTTTCTAAAATTTCTAAAAACCTTTAATTCTAAGAATTCTAAATTTCTAAAAACCTTTAGAAATTGGATCCTTGGGAGTTTCAAACCACCACACTAGGTAATATTTTCTGCTCTTTTATTTCACACCAGAGGAAATATCTTACACATCTCAGACTTGCTGCCATCTCTGAGGCCATGAAATAATCTCTGAAGTTATCTTAACTAAATTTTATAGGCAAATCACCCACAAAACACTTCACAGGCTGCTTCTTACCTGCAAGGCTGCTTGGCACATGTCCACTAAGCCCTGGATGAGATAGTATTTGGCTTCTGCCATCAACTCTTTGATCTCCTGCCTGTGTTTTGGAAGTGCAATTGTGTCATCTCGCAGATAGTTCAAAATTGTTCCAAAGTGCTTCCCACAACGGTCTATGAGGATCCAGCCTGAAAAATAACCAACACATTTCAGTCACCTCAGCACTAGAGGTAAGAAAAAGCTCCTTGCAGAGGTTAAATAAGCCTCAGGTTTCCTGAAACCACAAAGGACACTTCTCCCATCTCCCCCAGTAGAAGTCTCTGTGAGCAAACCGAAGCTCGTTCCAGAACAGAACCTGACAGTGGGACCCCTTTGGTACTGCCTGGATGTTCCCACTGCTTTCCAGCATCCCAAAAGCAAAGCCTGGAGATAAAAACACTCGGCTTCCAGCACAAGGCACAAAGTCTGCTGCAGGAACCAACCTGCAGTGCTGCACAGGCAGAAACTTCACACCAAGGAAGGACTAGAAGAGAGAATTCACAAATGTTTGTAATGAGTAGATTTAAGTTCTGTGGCCTAACCAGGAGGATTTGGCACTTTTCCAAACACATCTTGTGCTGCTGTTTGGAGTTAAAGAGAAAGAAGTGTCCTGAAGATGCTAAAAGGCAGACCAGCCCAGAAAACAGTGCAGGAAAAAAGCTGTTCTAGTCCCCAAAGAGGAGCAAAGAACACGACAGACGCAGCAGGAGGGAGCACAGAGGGGATGCAGCACAGGAAACAGTAGCAGACAGACAGTTCTTGCAATTTTACATCCCTGAAGTCACATTCCCCAGGAAACAGGATGTCTGACTGCTGCCAAACAACAGGAATGCACGCAGGCAGAGGACTTAATGCAGTGCCAAACCCTTTCCCATAACGTGGAAAGCAGATAAAAAAAGTGTTATTTTGGGACCTAGGTACAGAAAACAACCTAGGAAAGTAAGTTAAACCCCTGCTGGATTCTCACAGCTCCAGCTGGAGAACATGACCCTTGTTTTCCATTCAGGCTGAGGCTCTTACACAAAACTGCTTGTTCTGCTCTCTGTAATGTATCTGGGATTTGCGATGCCAACATCCTGTGTCCAGCTGGAGGTGACACACTGCCTGACTGACCCCAAACACCGTCACAGCACCATGAGCCACGAGTGAAACATGCTGCTGGCAGGAGGAAAAAAGGAATTTTCAACAGAGCAAGCCAGGTTATTCTGAGGCTTAAAGCTGAAAACTGCATGTCCCTCCCCATGTGCGCAGTTTGAATGATGCCACTGCACGATGTGACAGAAATGACAACCCACACACTGTCTGTTCAGTGTTTACAACACCACCAACAATCTGCTCAGACACTGTGAGGGCAGGAAAGAGGCCCAGCCCTTCCCTGGTTAATTTTGGTAACAAAAGAGCACATTTCTATAAAGCCCAAGGACTGCTGGCATCGATGGGAGCTGGCTGCCTGGCGTTCCAGGTCATTTTTGGAACACACCTTTCCCTACATCCTTAACAGAGCGCGGTCAAGATACTTTAAAAACCACCACCCAAACCCCAGTTGTTCTACAAAACTGCCAACAGTTTTACCTTCCTTGTCCGTGAGCACCTCCATCCTGCCGCTGAACATGGCCTTGAGCATGGTGTCGTGCCTGGTGAGCACCTGCACCGTGGTGTAGTACAGGGAGCCGCCCACGTTCAGCCGCACGTACTTGTTGCCCAGGCTGCCCCCCTTGAAGCCGCCGGCCTTGGGCTTGGGCCCCGCGCCGGGGCACAGGGCGAGGCACGTGTCCCCAGACATGGCCTTCTGGAGGTAGATGACGACCCTGCAGCGCGTGGGCCGGGCGGGCCCCGCCGTGGTGCTGCGGTCACGGGTCTGCCGGCGGGGACGGGGACGGAGCGCTCATCACCTGCGGGAAGAGCCAGAGCGGGCGGTCAGTGCTGACACAGGGATGGGCACGGAGCACTCATCACCTGTGGGAAGAGCCAGAGCGGGCACTCAGCACTCATCACCTGCGGGCAGAGCCAGAGCAGGCGGTCAGTGCTGACACAGGGTGGGCACGGAGCGCTCATCACCTGCGGGCAGAGCCAGAGTGGGCACTCAGTGCTGACACAGGGTGGGCACGGAGCGCTCATCACCTGCGGGAAGAGCCAGAGCAGGCACTCAGAGCTGACACAGGGTGGGCACAGAGCGCTCATGACCTGTGACAGAGCGGGCACTCAGCACTGACACAGGGTGGGCACGGAGCACTCATCACCTGCGGTCAGCACTGACACAGGGTGGGCACAGAGCACTTATCACCTGTGACAGAGCAGGCACTCAGCACTGACACAGGATGGGCACGGAGCGCTCATCACCTGTGACAGAGCGGGCACTCAGCACTGACACAGGGACGGGCACAGAGCACTCATCACCTGCGGGCAGCGCTGACACAGGGTGGGCACGAGACCGACTGGCACAGCCAGCAGACTGCCAAGGACACGGCCACACACGCTGTGACAAAACAACATGGAGCCGGTTTTCAGACAATTCCTGCAGTGACACAACCAGCCAAGTTATGGCCGTGCCACATTTCTGAAACTCCCCCAACTTCCCACAACTTCCTCTTCACCAACCCTGCAAACACCACACACCACTGGAGGCCAGGCCTCAACCCTGCTGGAATCCAGCTCCCCCCCAGCTTCCCGAAAGAACACAACACTCTGGGCAGAGCTGAAACACGCTGGAAGAGCTTCCTGCCCCTCCTGCAGCTGGGCTGTGTGTGCATCTCCCTGAGCAGGATTTGCTGACGTTGGTTTGACTTCTAACTGGAGACACAAATGTCTCTTCAAATGCCTCAACACTGAGAGGCTGGATCATTAACATTCCGGGTAACTCCTCTCACCCGAAACTCTCCTTCCTCCATCCTGGAACCCTGAACAGTCAATGTAGTTTTAATTAAAAAAAAATAAAAATTAACACCACTCCCCATCAAGTACATCCACTCTCTGGAATACCTGCCTCAAATAAACAGCTGGCCACGTATCACCTCTTCCTCTCCCCAGTCTCACATTCACCTTCTCATCCACAATAAGCTCAAAATGGAAACAAATAAAAGAATGAAACTCTGCCAGGCCACACCTGAAGTTCTCTAACCAGAAAAGTGCAAATACAAGTTTCTTACCTATCTTTCTTCTAGTACTTACTGTCTCAAAAGGTTTTTGCTGTTGTTTTTCTTCGGGGTTTTTTTTCTGTTGTTTTTTCTTTGTTGTTTTTTCTTAAACTCTTTCAGACTACAGATACCTCCCTCTCTCTGTTCTGTGCTTGTGGCACACGAGTGACCTTTATAAATAAATATACCACCTGTTAACTCCAGTGCTCTTCTCCCTGCATCCCTCTTCCTTCTTACCCCACCTCAGCTTTCAACAGAGAAAAGCCCCACAACCACCCATCAGTACAATGAATTACTTGGCAGCTACAACGGTGTCTCAAAATTGCCCTAGACCGGAAGAACTGCTGAACTTAGACCTAAAACACAACGTTATTCTGCAGTTCCTAATTAATAACTCCCTTATTACAACTAAGCAGATGCTACAAGCGATGTCTGTTGGGGAGCTGTGGGGCCTTTGCTGCACAAACAGCCCCGAGACCTTCAATCACCCGCTTTGACACGGCAGAGAACTCCCAGAGAACTCCCCACGTCCCTCAGTCCTGCCCCGCGTGGGAACAGGGAACAGCCCCCGCTCGGCACCGCCGGGACAGGAACAACCCCGACCCGGCCCGGGCACAGCGGGGCCGCCCGCACCGGGGCCGGGGAGGCGAACACGGCAGGGCCCGGCAGCAGGGGCCCGGCAGCGGGAGCCCGGCCCCGGCCCCGGCCCCCGCACCCGCACCCGCACCCGCACCCGCACCCGCACACGGCCCCCGGCCCCCGGCCCCCGGCCCCCGGCCCCGCGCTCACCCCGCGGCCGCCCCTCAGCCCCGGCCCGGCCGAGCCTCGTCCCGCCCCGGGAAGCGCCGGCCCGGAAGAGCTTCCGCAGCTCCCGGCGGGCCCCGCGCGGCGGAGGCGGGGCCGGGGCCGGGCCGGGGGTGTGCGGAAGGGCTGCCCTGAGGATCCGCCCTGAGGATCCGTCCTGAGGAGCTGTCCCGAGGAGCTGTCCCGGGGCGCTCGGAGGGGCCGGGAGGTGTTGTGAGGACCGTCCTGGGCCGCTCGGAGGGGCCGCGGTCCCGGCCCCGATGGCGCAGGCGGCGCTGGGCTCGGCGGGGCTGCACTTCGACGAGCTGAACAAGCTGCGGGTGCTGGAGCCCGAGGTGGCGGCGCAGACGGCGCAGCTCCGCGAGGAGTGTCGGGCCTTCGTGGACAGTGAGTCCCGCCCGGCCCCCGGGTACTGCAGGGCTTCCCTCTTTTCTTGCCCCTTTTATCTGGCTCCGAGGAAAATCTTAAAACGTGGCTGTTTACAGTAAACTCTATAAACATAAGCTATGCCACGAAGCGGAAGCGTTGCTCCTCTTTAGGGCTGTTCTGGGTGTCACTTGCCAATCTCTTCTTCTTTGCAGAAACAGCAGAATTTCAGAAAATAGTGGGCAGCTTGATTGAGCTCGTTGACCAACTGGCCAAAGCTGCAGAAAATGAGAAGATGAAGGTACTGTGCGGTTAATTCCTGGGTTCTCGTGTGCTCTGCCCTGCCCTGTGTAAAAAACCAGCTCTGTCCCTCCCTCCCTGTACAGCAGAAGCAGCTTTTCCCTGTCAGCGTCCTGCTGGCATTCCCGTGGGACTAACTGGGCCTTTTTAATTGGCATCAATGTCTAGAAGCCTGTGACATTGTCACGTTACTCCTGCGTGTCACAGTTCTGCTCTTCCTGCTTGTCGATATTTCTGCACTTAAACAGAACCTGTATTTTTTAATCGCTCCTTTTACTGGTAGAACTTAGTCCTCAAGAGGCAGGAGAAGCCTCTGGCAGCCAGAGCTTGTCTGGAGCAGTGCCCACTTTGTGTGTTTGGAGGAGTCAGTGACTTTGTTCCCCAAAGGCCTCACCCCGCCCAACCCCTCAGGATCACAGGGTCACCCTCCCTTACTGCTGGCACGGCTGAAACGCCTCAGAATCAACCTGCTGGGAGGGAAAGGGGCTAAAAAAAATTAACAAAACCCTCAGCACATCCCACCCTCTCCTGCCAGGCCATCGGGGCACGGAACCTGCTGAAGTCGATCGCAAAGCAGAGGGAGGCTCAGGAGCAGCAGCTCCAGGCTTTGATAGCCGAGAAAAAGATGCAGCTGGAAAGGTGAGGTTTGTGCTCAGCACTGTGGGGAGTTGTGCAGGCTGGGAGGGCTCAGGGCTGACCCCCGTGGGACCCTCAGTGGGTTCAGACAGTCCCACCTGCAGCGAAGGTGTGTCCTGCCCAGAGCACGCGTGGACAATGTGCCACAGGCCTGGACTCACCTTCAGGCCCTGCAGTGAACCAAAGCAGGTTCCTCCCTGAGGCCTCGGGGGCTGAACAAAGGGAGGCAGCACGAGGTGGGCAGTGCAGAACCCAGCACATCTGTAACAGCCTTGAGAGCTGCAGTGTGACAGTGGGAGGGAGCCCAGCTGCCCTCCCACAGCCTGAGGGGCTGCACTGACCCCCCTCCCACAGCCTGGGGGGCTGCACTGACCCCCTCACACAGCTTGGGGGGCTGCACTGACCCCCCTCCCACAGCTTGGGGGGCTGCACTGACCCCCTCCCAGAGCTGGGGGCCTCTGACCATTTCTCTCCTGCAGGTACCGGATCGAGTACGAGACCCTGTGCAAAGTCGAAGCGGACCAGAATGAATTCATCGACCAGTTCATTTTCCAGAAATAGAGGATTTTAAGATAAAAAAACCAGCTCACTTGGAAACTTGACCATTCCAGAATCTTGAGAATTTCAGAAATATGCAATTTCCACTGTGCAGGAGTGCAGATGGTTTGTGCAGTGGAGGGGCTTTACCTGGTGTGAATGTCCCAGCCGTGGCAATAAGGGGGGCTGACAGCTCACAGCTGCACACACTCTTCTGGCCTTTGATTTTATACCAGTTTTGTACAGTCAGTAGTTCTAATTCAAATTACAGTTGAATTAATGCTACTGGTGCTCTGTTGTGTCTCTTTTTGAACTTTACAGCTCTTTCAAAGAAATTGGGAAATAAATTATTGTTCTCAGACTTTCTGGCTGTACCAGAAGTAGTTGCTCCTGCTCTGTTATTTTTCAGCTTAAAGGTTTACAACTCCCTGGACACTCTCAGTGGTTTTCCACTTTCTTTGTGTCTGTAAAGACACCACACACAAGCAGCAGTAACTTGGATCTACGTTGCCCACATTACTCTCTATAGAATTAAAAAAAAACTACAGAAATCTATGATTTCCAGAACACATCAATTACAGACACACAAAAAACCCAGAAACTACGTGAGAATTAAGAACTTTGAACTGTTCCTGAGGAATGTCCTTTCAGGAGTGTCATAACATGAGAGCTGAATTCTTTCATGGGCATTATTAGGATGGAAACCATTCCAAGTGTCAGTGACACCAGGAGTACAGAACTATAAACTACAAACACAAATGTGAACTCAGGCCTCCTGCTGAAGTGCAGACAATGTGTTTTGTGTCTGTCTTTAGGGAACCCAGTATGGAAATGTGGCTCGTTCCAAAGCCTGGAGAAGGCTTACCTTTGACACAGTGAAGTCCTGAAATACTGAGCAGCTCCACAGGGCCCTGTCACCTCTCACCAGGCTCCAAGTGTTCTTGCAGATCAATGGGAAACTTAAAAAACCCCCAACCACCCCAGAATTTCTATCAGTTGATGTAATTCATGCATAGATTTACTCTGTGAATTCTCTACCATCTCAGGGTCACTGTAAGTTCCTTTCAGCCTTTCTGTGAAGAAGATTAAATGCAGGTTATTGCAGGTAGTTATTTATTTCCATACTATAAATGATTTCAGGGAAGCGAGAAATTTGCAATTCCTTGTTTACAATTCCTGAAGTACTTCAAAATCCTCTAGGCAATATTCCTCATTCTCAAAGGTAACTTTAAGTATCATAAATCCAGAGTTTGGCACATTTACCACCGATCAGACATTAATTAATCAAAATGAAGCAGAGCAAAGGCAGGGAAATTTCAGAGGAAGGGGTGAGGAAGTTAAGAATCAGGATATGATTGGAAACGTTTCAGAAGCACAGCTTTGCAAATCTGGGTGTAATCATTGGGGGAGTCTGCAGAATATGCTGTTGGAAGACAGATTTCCTACTTTAGTGGTTTCCAAACAGTCATCTTGGAGAAGGGGAACTCGGAAGAACAATACCAGCTGCAGTGTGAGCGTTGCCCTCACAGTTACACATCAAGGGTTACGAGTCCATTTTCCTGGAGAGGCCCCGCACAGACCCCACCCCAGAGGCCCCGGGGGTCTCTGGCCCAGCCTCTGGCAGAGCTGTTTGTGGTGGGAGCAGAGCTGTGCACTCAAACCAATTCCATTTTCCCTGGCAGCAGCCAGTGCCCTGGCAGGAGCTGCTGCAGCCAACACCAGAGGGATGTTTGTCCCACAGGACTCCGTGAGCGCAGGGTTGGAACCAAATCCAGGGCAGGAGTGGTGGGTACGACTTCCAGAGGGGGCTACTTCCTTTTTCTCTTCTCCACGTGTTTGTAGTGGGGGTTGCAGAGCATGGTGAACAGGATCAGGAGGGGGATCAGCAGGTAGGGCAGGTATATAGAGAGCAGAACGAGGCGCTCACGCAGCGTCTCAGGGCCCACGTGCTCCGACTTGGAGAAGTCGTGGAACAGGATGTGGGCCAGGATGGCAAACAGAGTGGTGGCCACGTGGGTGGAGTAGATAATGGCAGGAGTCCTGATCCACCTGCAACCACCTGCACAGAAGCAGAAAGGAAAATGCATTGAAGTATTTTTGAAACAAGCAGAATTCTGAGGCTTTCAACTTCACAGAACATTGACTGCTGCCTCTCTGCCAGGGTCAGCCATCACTCAGGCTGAACAGGTAGCACAAAAAAACCTAAGTACTAGTAGAACCCAGAAATTTCTCTCCCTTGATGGAAATTCAGAACAAAGGGGTGATCCTGAAAATTTTAAAGTAACAAAACGAGTACACAGGCTTGACCCAGACCTTTATCTCCCCTGGAAGTGTGCCAGATGTCAAATGCTAATCACACAAATGGCTGCACCTGACAAGGGCCTGCAGTCACAAAGTCTTGTGTCTGACAGACTTTATTCTGTGCTGCTTTCCCAGGTAAAATGTGCCATGAGAGCGGCCCAGTGCTTGTGGCACACTCATTGTAGGGGCTGTGACAGCCCAGCCCTCCACGGGGTACATCCCTCAAACTGCTCGAGGCTGATGCAGAAACCTTCTCTGCTGCCCCAAAAGCAGGAGTTGTGCAGAAGAGCTCCCAGGACGTGCCCCTGGTTCCATACCCACCCTTGAGGAAGGCGTAGGCGGCGACGGGGAAGAACGGCAGCTGCAGAAAGGCCTCACAGTAGATGAAGGCCTTGAACCACTCCGGGGGCTGCAGCATCATGGGGTCCCTGAAGGCAGTTGCATACTGCTGCAACAGGTCTGTCAGCTTAGGGAAACCAAAACAACACATTCTGTCACTGAACAGCAACCTCAGCACGGCAAAGACTGTGATTCTCAACTGGATGAAGCCACCAGTGCAATGGGAAAGCAGAGAGATCCCACCCTGGCACATGAGGATTTGTACTGCAGTTTAAACAGGGACTATATTTACAGAATTAAGTCTGTATTAAATTTGCACTACAGGCAATTTTAGGATTACTTCTGCACTAAGTACAGTTTCCAAAAACTACTCCTGAAATACGATTTCCTATCAGAAAAAACCCAAACCACAAAAATCTGCCCCTTGACACTCGTAGCTCTGATTTCCCTCCCTCTGCAGAGCTCTGCTGGTGCCAGCCCAGGGGGGGCTCTCTGTCTGAGTGAGGGGTGAGCCCCCAGCCCCCCCAGGTCCTGCCCAGCCCAGTGGGCTCTGGGGGCTCCTCCTCCAGGGCTGGAGAGGAACAGCTCTGGAACAGCTCTCCCTGCTGCCCTGGAACAGCTCCATCCAAGGATTTGGGCTCAGGGACTTGCAGTGAGTTTCCACGACAGAAATGTAAACTCCAGCATGGCCCCGCGTTGGACTTTGAACAGGGGGATATCAATTGGGATCTGCTGGTTAACTATTAATTGAAAGCGGTGCCTACATTGGAGTAAATTCTCCAGCGATTCTGATGGCAAAAACCACGTCACCAATTGTGAGGCTCCAACAGCAGGTGACAGCCGCCTTCACCCCGACCATGAGGGCTGAGCTAATTATCAGCCATCCAGCTGTGGCTTGAATTAACTTCACGATGCTTATTGTCTTTGACGATTTTGTTCAAAATCCAGCAAACCAGAGATTTTAACCCACAAATTCTGTCGCTGGGGTGCCTGCTGCTGCGGCGGCAACATCTCCCCGGTAGGTTTTTGGCAGGGATTGGAGGAAACCTCAGGATCCGAGAGCGCCCGGCCCCGCCCGGGGCACGTGGCACCAGGGCCAGGGGGGCACCGCGGGGACAGGACGGGGCGGTGGCAGCTGTGAGACACCCAGCGCCGGTTCCGCGGGGAGATCAGTGACCCCCGGGCGCCGGGGACACGGCCCAGGCCCAGCCCCGGCCCCGCTGAGCGCCCCGTCCCCATCGCCGCTCCCGCTCCCGTGTTCCCGTTCCCGCTCCTCCCCGATGAATGACCCGGCTGTGATTCATCCCGTGGGCAGCGGCCCCGCCGCGTCCCAGCCGCTCCCTCACGCACGTTCACCGCGGTTCCTCTCTCCCCCCCTCACGTCCCCACAGACGCGGCTCGGCAAAAGCCGCCCCCGGCCCCGCCAAACCCGCGGATGCTCCGCGGAACGAGCCCCGGCGCGGCCCCCCCCCCGGCCCCACTCACGGCCCGCGGGGGGATCCCGGCGGGCAGCAGCGGCTGGAGGTCGATCAGGGCCGTGATCGGGATGTGCGAGAGGAAGTAAAGGGCGAAGAGCCGCTCCCGCCACCGCGGAGCCGCCGCCATCGCCGGGACACGCCCACGGACACGCCCCCCGGAGACGGGGACACGCCCACGGCTGGGGGCACGCCCCCTTGAGGCAAGGACACGCCCATCTGTGCCGGGCCACGCCCACCTGGCCACGCCCACGCCCCCCGCTTCCCCTCCCCGTTTTCCCTTTTCCCATTTTCCCGGTTTCCCCGTTTCCCGGGAATCGCGGGATCGCAGCGCTGCCGGTACCGACACCCCCCATCCTGCCCCCGCCGCTCCCTCCCGGGGCCGCATCCAGAGGCTGTTCCTCGTGCTCCCGCCAGAGATAAACCCACGTCTTCCCGCATCCAGCGCGTCCTTCCCCGCACGCTCTCGCCCTACAGAGCTCAAACGCTCCCCATGTCCCGTCCCAGCCCAGCCGGGTCCCGCAGCACACGCGGAGCGGGGATCCATCACCTGCCTGCACTGCCGGTGCCCATGGATCGCACGGCTCTGGAGGATCCCATGGATCGCACGGCTCTGAGCATCCCATGGATCACACGGCTCTGAGGATCCCATGGATCGCACAGCTCTGGAGGATCCACACCCGCGCAGGGATATGGAGCACACGGAACAGAAGCTCCTGCCAGGTTATAGCCCACAGAAGAATATTAAAGGTTACGGAGACCAAACGGTCCCAGGGTCTCGCGACTCCGCTGCTGGAAAAAATCCAGGGTAAAACAATTAGAGAACTTGCCCCCCAGGAAATCCCAGAACGGCCACTTGGGGCTCCCTCCCACCAGGAAACTGCCCAGTCCCACATCCCCTGCTGATAAACCGGCTGGAGGAGGAAAGCAGAGATTCCACAGACTGCTTCCAATCAGTCACTGAACTTCACCAGGAGATGGATTTTAGCCACTTACTGTTCCAGCACTGGCCTCGACAGCTCCTCTGCTCGGTGTCACAGTGCACACACAGGGCTGGGCCTTCTCACCCTCAAATGCTCCTCTGACACTTTGTGAGCAGCTCCTTTGTGAGTTCTCCTTTGCCCCCAGCACTGGTCCCTTCCCAAGGCACAGGCCATACAAGGAGACACAGCACTGTAGTGACAGAGCTTAAAACCTCTGATGACAACTGTAATTCGTTTGACATCGAGATCAGCAAAGCTTAAAACTGATTAAAATGCAACTCTGATAAACCTCAGGCCAGGTTTTCCCCTGGCTGGGAAGGAAAGCAGCTCTTGGGATGGCTCCCATTGCCATCACATTCCCCTGGGTGCTCCCTGGCACTGGAACTGTGTCTGTCCAAGGGCTCAGGGGAACATTCCCTCCACTGCCACTGACTCACAGCAAACACAGCAAATGCAGGTCAGGCTACAGAAAACACTCCCAGCAGTGTGGTTTGCACACATTTGTACACACAGTTTTAGTCACACCTTGTGCCAGTGCTAATCCACATCCTGCCCAGACACCTTGCAAGGTAAAGGTCCCCAAGACCTTTTATTCTTTTTATGTTTATGGGCAAGATTCACCCAGAGACCTCAAGCAATTGGCTCCAAACAATCCCCTGTGCCCAAAGTGTATGTGCCACGTGTGGCAGGGGCTCACACCCTGTCCCTGCCCTGGCACACCACAGACTGCAGCTGTGTTCCTGCAGCTCCACTGCACCCTTTGCATCAGGACTGCAGAGAGCAGGGAAAGGGCTTTGTGCTGAAAAACTAACGGGTGCTTTGCAAACTAAACAAACCCAGAGCTGCCTGGAGGTCTGACCCCTCCCAGGACAGCTCAAGTCAATCAATCATTTGATTTATCAGCGAGTTCAGCCCTTACCCAGGATCAGGCTGAGAGAGCAGGTGAGTATTGTGTCTAATAAGTCATATATGTGTCCACATACGCCCAAACCAGGATGTTACAAAGTCTTTTTACTCATCTTGTTAATCAAGATTGTAACAATCCCCTCTCAAACGCAGGTGGGGGATCAGGCAGAAATAACAACAGCCACCGCTGCGGTTTCAAATGTCACATTTAATGTTTTCACCACTGTACTCCAAATCTACATTTTACAAAGTGACCAGCAAGTGTGCCACATTAACTGACCAACCTCTGAGATTTTACCTTTCATACCAGTGTCTTCTGGGGCTCGTTAATTAAACACGTTTCTCATTCAAGTGAATTGAAATGCTTCCGTTGGTTTTATTCTCAGGAGCCTCATAAAAAACAAAGATATTGCACCATCTTTGTTCAGTTATTCAATGTTTGTCTCTTTCACAGCAAATAATTACTTCATTGAAGTTAAAACTTCCAAACATAACTTACTAATAGTCTCCAATTCCAGCTCAGATCACTCTTGTTGAAAATACTCTGCTAAATACAGATAACTTACAATAACTTTAACAGTTAATTGTCCATAACAAACACCACGGTTCCTCTCCAGACCAAGGCTCAAATTTTAAGACCACCCTTTAGTATTCCTTTGTACAGGTGAAAAACAGTCTTCAATTTTCTAGTCTTGTTTTAAATACAAAAGTTGGAAGGGACATTCAAGTTTCAAGTCTCCACACTGAACTTAAAAAAAAAAAAATCATGTGGAGGTAAACAAACCAAGTTGTATACTCCAGGAGGTAGAGGCCTTCAATTTGTGTTCATATATACATATGCACAGAATTCAGTGTTCCAACAGAAAAAGAATTAGCCAAAAAGTAATAAAAGTTATTTACTACTGTGACATTTCAAGACTTCCACAGCTTTGCCTAAAGACACAAACACAATTAACAGAATTCCCTATGTGCTTTTTTTTTTTGTCCTTTTCTTTTTTTTTTCTCTCAACTGTCCAGTGCAGGAAAAAGTTCTCACAAAATTTCACAGACCTAAAATGTGCAAGCTAGTTTCTCTCTATACAGCAATGATGTCAGGGATCTCTGAAATTAGCTCATAAATGGAATTATTTACACACATAGAAGATGCATGCTGGGGGGTTTTATGTAAGAAAGAGCAGAAAAACTTCTAATAAAAATAGATTAAATATATATATATATTTATACTGGGTAAGGAAACAGAAGTTTCGTCTCTCCTAGTCACAAACTCATTCTCTCTACTCACAACATTTGATTTTAGAACAGCACACATCACCATCACAGCTCTAGTGAGAAGCTATTTATAGGGTTTGGGCATCAGGGGACGTGGCCACTTCCCGTGGTCACAGCCCCCCAAAGGGACTTCATGATTGGTCGCAGTCAAGTTTTCTGTATTCCTTAGTTTTAGAAAACCCAAAATCTCCAGGAATGGCTCAATATCAAAATGTATGTCTATCTGTTTGTACAATCTCACTTCAATTAAAAAAAAAAGAAAAAAGGAAAAGAAAAAAAGAAAAAACCTCCCCGAATTTGGTTCAATTCTGTTTGTTCTGAGCTGAGCCATCACAGCTGCACTAGAATTCATAAAACACGTGCAACTCTGGGTAAAATATTTTCTTCTAAAAGCACAACCACTTTACAAGATTAAAAGTCTAGTACATTTCTAAATATTATTCATATTGTACAAGTAGTGGTTGTTATTTTAAAACTTCATTAGTAAAATTACAGTACAAGCATGATTAACCTCCAGAATTGCAAATCCCAGACTCCAGTGGAAAGCTACATTACATCTTCAGTAGTACGAGGGCTCCACGTCACTCCCACACCAGCGGAGACGGCGGCATCTCGGAGGGCTGGGCGACCGTGGAGCTGCAGGAGGGACACACATGGTCAGGAGGGACAGACAGCCAGGGAGGGACACACACAGGCAGGGAGGGGGACAGACAGTCAGAGAGGGACACACACAGTCAGAGAGGGACACACACAGTCAGAGAGGGACACACACAGTCAGAGAGGGACACACACAGCCAGGGAGGGACACACACAATCAGAGCAGGGACACACACAGTCAGGGAGGGGGACACACAGTCAGAGAGGGACACACACGGTCAGGAGGGACAGACAGCCAGGGAGGGACACA